AGTATGTTTGAAAAGTCATTGTGGGTACCTATAAAATATAAGAATATACTTTAAAAGTTTCAAGTACCCACGAATATTATTTTTAATTTACAACAAAATAACATCAATCATTATTCTTGGTAATTGAATCTTTAATTTGGTTCACATTTGAACTTAAAAAATCTGTGATAATATTTTTTTGATTTTTTAATAACAGAAAACCTATTTGCTTGGAACTTTGTTTTGAATTTTAAACCCTAACCTACAAAAGTTGAATATTTCAAAAAATATAAATTATAAAATCATTTGTACATTTCATATGATTTTGTTAAAATGTAAACATTAAATGCTCATTAAAAAAAAATCTTGCCTATGCATTTTAAATATTTTTCAACTAATATTGTCAATATCTATCAAAATATCTATCAAGAGCATTTTATTGAATTTTTGAGCTTTTTTGCAAACAAATACAATTTGAAGTATAAAAAGTAAATTTAATCACCAAAAAAATATGAAACCAAAATTAATTACTTTAAACATCGACGCTTTCGGGCTTCGGCGGAATCCTTGATTATTGTGTGTGAACTGCGGAATAAATCAGATACCTATGACTGAACTTAAGTTTTGCTTTGCTAACTGAAATTTTAGATCGATTGCGTCTTTGTAACTAATGTAACTACTTAGAAATATGACATGGATTGCATTATAATTTATACTACGTCAATATGTTAAAACCATAGATAGATATTATATTACAAATTTTTATATCAAAGAGGTCCATGTTTGAGATTTGATCATTAAGATAATGAAATGAGATATAACAATAACCAAAATAGTTTATAATTTTTAAATTTAAATTACAACAATTTATAAAGTACCTATTATTTTTATTTAATAATTGATTAAGGTGGTGTTTAAATATTCAAAGCACAGGCATTTTTTTTATGAGTTAGTAAATACAAATCTTATTGTAAATAAATGTGATTATTACATATTAGATTTAACATAAATAGGTATTCAGTGCCTTATACATCACATTTACCGTGTACCGACTACCGACTAACCAACTATAATTTGTAAAATTCCAAGTTAAATCTTTTCTCTGAATTCTGTCGAGCACGAAATTAATAATAAATTTTTTACGTACCTATTCATTTTGAGTGCATTGGTTAGGTATATTTTAAGCTATTCGAGAATATTTAAATTTTAAAATTTCCTTATTTAATTTCCGATGGATATTCAATATTCAGCACAGCGATTTTTCCAGCTTTATAAAATAATGTGATGTTTGATGTACGCCGGCGTCGCTAGACGCTAGTTTAACCACAAGCCGACGGCATAGTAATATTCATATATTACTTTACATTTATATAAACTAAAAATAAAAATTGTTGAATTTTGCAGGACATAAGGACTACCGTATACTGTTCTACTGTAATAGGACTAATATGTACAACACTATTTATATCTATTTAATTTTATAATTATGTTATTATTCTGCGACCTGGATATGCCGTGGTCGTTTGTGATACCGTATTTTTTTGTGTTGCGCGCTCTGGAATAAAAAATATGCCCCTACTTCACCCGGGTAGCAAATCAAATTTTAATTTTGAGACTAATAAGTAAAATATTTAAGCCCCAAAAGAATAAGTAATCAAACTTACGTATACTCGACTATTCGGGTAATATATAGCTGTAGCAAGGCGCCATATCGAGCAACTTCTTCCTTCATCTAAATCCGAATTGACAAAATCGAGATTTTTTATAAAAATTACTAGAGTAAAATGAAATTTGTGAGTAAATGTTTACTGTTGCCATACACAATTCATTTTGTTCAATGAAATTATTAGAATTGCGAATCGTCTCCGGTGAGTGTCGACGATCGGCTTTTGCCATAGATGATAGGTATTATAATATAATATGTTGTCATCAGTTTTCGAGTTTTTGACTTCTTTGGATTACACGATACATTTTTTATTTCAAATTCCGAAACAGAATATTATTGGGAGTGTTTAAATTTATACAATGCAGAACACGGCACTCTGAGTATAGGCCATTTAGATTTTTAGATACACTACTGTCGAGAGTCAATTGTTACGTCCGGCATCTAACAATATTGTTTTTAGTCTTAAAGGTTTAACTATAATTTAACATAAAACTCTAGAAGTGTCGAGACTTGAAATTAAGCTTTGACATTTACAGAAGTAATAAAAAAATGTATACTTTAATCGTGCCTATATATTATTTCTGGGCTCGGCATTAATATGTTATTAAACAATATTATTCTATAATAGTGTGCAGTCACCGACGTACCTATTTGCTACAAAATTGTGTGGTCATATTATACTACTGTCTACTATACTCTAGTGTAAAAAATAATATATGTATACAGCCGTGTAGGTGCCTAACTAAGGCTCCCACATAAAGGTAAGTGACAAGGGTAAAAAAATGTATCGCTTCCATTGTACCAACCTATACTAATTGTTTTATATTTTAAAAACTTACCCTACAAAGTACAAATTAAGTAAAACAAGTATAGTTTATACTTTGCAGAGGTCGCTGTGGATATTTTTTAAAATAGGTAGTATTTAAAAAAAAAAATCATGAACATTTTAGGTTTGTTAGTTAGGTACACATGAATTTACTAGACCAATTTGAATTAGTTAATGCCAAGAAAGTTGTTAAATTAAGTACCTTAATAATAAGTCACATGTCACATCGTACCATGCTGAATATAGTAACGCATGATCCAAGTGATATGCATTTCCAATAACATTAAGATGTAACAATTAATGCTGAATACGGTTTAATGCTTTTAATTATATGTTGAACAACGTTGTTGTAATTGTACAATTATTCGTAATATTTTTTGTTTTAAAGGCAGTTTCCTAAACGTACATAAATTAACATAAGTTGTAAATTTTCTCAAACTTATAAGCCATATAACAGTTAAAAATTGCATATACTTGTTAAAATCTGTGTATATTTTAAGTATACAGTAGTAAGTACATTAGTTATACGATATAGACACATAAATAATGGATAAATTATTAAAAAACTGTGATTTTATATCCTTATTAAAAAAAATTATATAGCTGAAATTGAAAATAAAATTATACATATTTTTTAGTTAAGGTTTGTCATTCAATACAAGCAAAATACTTAACTGTAGATTAAAGTAACGAAATATAACTTCAGATATATGAACTGAAGAATTCATTGTTGAGTAGTCAAGATACAACATGTTTACTAATTACTTTGATGAACTGATTCAGTGAATATTTTCATCATCAGAATCATAAGTCAACTTGTTCATTTGTTTGTGACCCCCTAAGTTTTATTTGTGGAATCATTAGTCGATTAGTCAAATATTCAATGAGTTGTTTCTTATCGTAATTGTACAAAATTAAATCAAATCACTTAATTCTAGTTCAAACATTAATATAAGTCTTAAGTTAGTAAACTAGGTTTGAATACAAAATAATTATTCATAAGAATGGAAATATCCATTATCCAAGAAGTCAATATTTCCATTTTTCGTTTTAATAGATGAAATTTCAATTTAAATAATGTAAAAAAAAATTATTTTGTTGACATATCAAAATGACAATAAATAAAAATCATCTACATCCTATATAGAGTTAAGTAAAAAGTAATAATATTAGCCAACAAACTATATAGAGTAATTAAAGATCAGATATTTATCAATAGAATAATATGGACAACTTGCTGGACAGTGAAATGATATAATTTAATCTTGTAAAAAATAAAAAATTTGTTTGTTTGTTTTTTAAAAATGTTTTATTTGTAATATGTATTAATATATTTGTAGGATTATTGAATGATGTAGTTTTATAAAATACTATGTTTTTGTACATCAACTGTCAAAAGTAGCTGAAGTTAATTGTTATTAACAAGCTGAATACCTTTATCTAACTTGGAGACAAATATTTCCAAAAAATAAACAAATGACGTTTGAATACTTGGCTTATAGAAAATAACACCAAAACTTTGTTGGTAGCATATATTTTATCAAAAACAGTAATTGACTCTAATGTAAATGTATGTTAATAAGTAGAAATTATCAATGTTTTTTTATATTTTTATTTTTTTAAGAAGTTTAATACCTGTCTTATACCTTATGATCTGTTTTGTCACCTTTATTTAGCTAAGCATGTAAATAAACAATAAATAAAATATTTCTACATTTTAGCCATTGTTAAATTTAAAAGTACTTGCAGTGTTTGGATTTTTTTATTTAGCTGTATTGGATCAGCACCATCTAATACATTAACTTAAACACCATTACAATACAGTATTAATTTTTATACAGAAAATACCTACATTATATTTGAATGATATTTAAGCAAAATCTTCAGCTTAACACTTTTCTTCGTACAAATAATAACATTTATTATATATGTTATCCGGAATTTGTCTCCTAAAACTAAATCCGCAAGAATATTGCTCATGTGTTGGCATGGCTCTAAAAAATTGGTATAAAAATGAACAACAGAAGACCCATATAAACTGAAAACCACAAAATATTATATTAATTGCATAGACTTCAAAAAGAAATTCATAGATTCTTAACAAATAAAATAACCTACATAATATTAGATAGTATATTGTGATATTTTTTTAAATTATTATTTTCTCCCTTGTTTACCTACATTGGGTTATACCAATAATTTTCAAATACAAAACAAAAAAATCAATTTAATTCTGAATCATTTATAATATATTATATTAATTGAACATTAGAGTGTTGCAACATTGTTTGTTCAAAATACTGATCCATCATATTTGTTCTTTGCACCACCAACACTTAACACTCTCTGCTGATGCACTGCTAGGTACTGGAGTGTTGTACTTCACAAATACATGAAAACAAAGTACAAATGTTTTTGTAACATTACTACTAATAGTATAAGAAGTTTTCAACTAATCTTGCTTTTTTGATAGTGGGTAATTTATGCAAACATTCTAAAGTCTTTGTTGGAGATGTGCCCAAAAATTCTTCTATTTCATCACTAACTGTTGATTTTTCCTCTCGGGAATTTAGTGACCCGGTAAAAAAGGTAGATAAATTATCTTTCATTTGGTTATCTTCTAATTGTTTTTTATATCATTTTTAATCCAAACTTTTTTAAATAGTGGGTGGCAGACTGCAGCAGTTACTAAAAATTTGTCTATCAAATAATCTGCAAACCTTGTTTTCATACCTAAAAAAAAAAATTATTATCATTGAAGTTTGTTTATTTTAGCTCATGAGTATATAAATGTACTGCACAAAAATATAAATATAAATAATAGATCAGCTGATTAAAATTTTACATTATACATCAGTAAGACTGTAAGAACAAAGAAATACTATATGAGGCGTCTAGAACCCAAGAGGTATAAGCGACATTCTTTGGAAAACAGGTATAGGTGCGCTTGAACCCATTTTCTTCTAATAAAGATATCATTTTTGTTTGGAGGTTAAGTGATTTGCTACTAGATTGCAGCACATATCAAATACTTCACTTATATCTCTTTACCACCAAATAAAACGGATAAATAAACCAATAAAGTAAACCAAAAACAGCTAAAACGAAAAGAAATTAAATGTGTACAATTTAAGTACTTGGCTAAATAAGATTAATGTATTTAAAAAATATTAATTATTACATACCATTAAGTATGGCAGTCACCAGAAGTTTCATATAATCAGAAACTGTTTGATCACTTGTCATTGATTCATATTTATAAATTATTCCTTCAATTGTAGGTAGGAGATGACCAAAGTACATGTTAGTATCACCCTGGAGTAAATCCAAGCTTATTGAAATTGGCCCCATGATTGTATGATGTTGACACATGAAATCAATATCACTTCTTTCAAATCTGAAAATATTCATAAAAATTAAAGATAAAATAATTAATATTTTTTTAGGATTTACAATTAACCTGCTAATAGCCAATTCGTCCATTATTATTCTAAACTTAGTTTCATTATTTTTAATTTATTTATTAAGCAGTACCACTACATTTTACAGTGAATTCCAACGTGTCTCGTTGGGTGTAATTAAATAAACACCAAGATTTTGTTTAACTAAATCAGGTGACTTAGTTGAGCGACTTTCTTTGTTCCACAAAGCGGTAGACTTGGCAAAAGTACTTCTTGACTGTTTTTTTTATGCAAGATTAGACAAAGCTTTTTTAAAGTCCTAGAAAAAACAAGTTATACAAATAAATTATCTTATTTTGTATTTAATTTGTACAAATTTTTAATTAATAATAAAAAATTAAACAAACATAATTTATTGACATTTTAAATTGAAATTTGGGTATAGATAAATAGAAAATAGTTAATGCCAATCATATTCATACTTATATCTTAGAATATTTTTTTTCATATATTTTTATCATTTAAATTGAAAGAAAAATTTAATTTTTAAATGTATTACAACTCATACAAATTTGATTATGAGTATTAAGTGTTAAACCTACTACCTAATAGTTTTGTCCTGATCACTATAATTACTCAAAATATATTCTTTTCGATAAAAATATTTTTAGTATTTTATAATTTAACTATATTAGATTATCTACTTAAATAAATGTTTAATTACCATTGTTGCTATTAAATTTATTGTGTGTGCACAACATCAATGGTGTTTTAGTAATGCATATGGCAAATCATGGTCTTCATCATTTAGAATGTTCAAGTTGAATGCACCGATTTTTTCTAAATCATTAACAACTGTATCGTTCACTAGCAATGTATCAGTATACAGTCATGCAGTCATGTAAATATCAACTACTTTTATTAATGCTGCAACTAAAAACTTATTAATAGGTAAAATAAAAAATAAAAATGAACATTACACATTCTTACTTTGACTAGTTAATTTTTTGTTGTTCAAAAAATCTTCTAAAACTGGTTGTTTGACTGGTTATTTTTATCTGATTGTTTTAGAGAACTACTAACATTATACTTCAATGATCCATAATTGCATCTCTTTAAAGTGTTTTTGTTCGCTGCATTATCAATGTGATCAATTTTCTCTAATAGAGTTGACTGTTGTATCTGTATAAAAAATGAAATAATATAACCTTTTACTTAACATTATAAGTTTTGATAAATAATTTACATTTTTTGATCAGTGGGGCAACTGGGATTTATTTTTGAGGGGGGAGGGGGTTATTTATTTTATTTTATTTCATATACACAAGAATACTGGGCCCCTCTGAGATGACTTGTGGGGGCCCAGGAAAATATATAATATAGAATAATGGGATCTATGATGCATTTTAAGCACTTGAAATCTAACTTTTAAAAAGCTGTGCGCCACTGTTTTTTATGTATTTTTGTAATTTTTTTTTTTATTATTAGCTGCTGGTATGAAACCATTTTAGCTCATTTTTGTAATTTATTAGGTATTTGTGTGGTATTTAAAATTAATTTAACATACAGGATATTAGATGGGTCAACTGTCATAGGCAGGTATGAAATTAACATTGTACTTAAGCTTAAATGTTTTCTTATATTAGAGTTTGAACGTGAATCCACCTTGTAACACTTTGTATCGACACAACTTGAGCACTTCACTTTCAGCTTCTTGTAAAAAAAATTATCCTCAATGACTCTTAATACTTTAAAATATTTTTGATAATTTGGCCAGGGTAAATTGGTTCTTCTAAATCTGCAACCTGATGCAATACAATTATTAACAATCTGTAGGAACGTCAAGCAGACAACAGCGAACTCGATACGAATAATACGAACCCAACTAATAAATATTACAAAAGTGTAAAACAGCGTAGGGGGCTATACATGCAAATGCAATATTGTAATAGTGTATAACTGATTGTGCGCTAATGACCAATTATTGGCAATTGGTTATTCGTAGTCCGTACACACAAAAATAATATTATTTTCTGATAAAATTATGAAAATATGATAATACCACGTTCCACATATTATTATGGTGTTATATTAATAGGCGACATAGCCATATTTATTTATTTATAGTAGAATGAGTTATCAGTCAATATCAATGTTTATGTTCTATATTGTATATAATATTAGATTATAGCTTTTAATCATGACAAAATAGATTCTATTTTGTCATGCTTTTAATCAAGAATAGGTCGCACCCACATATTATGTTGTCTAGTCCGTACACAGTACACACGTATATTTCAATCATGGGTATTGGGTACGACGCAGCTAATGTTCGTATATTTTGCTATAATACAATAAGTTGGTAGGTACCGATAACTTACCGTTGCGATCTTCGTCGACGATAAACACACGGTTTCACGGAGTAAAAAATATTTAGTTAAGCTAAAGATATTTTATTTAAACTAAGGACGAAAACCAAAATCGATATCGAATTGTTCATAAATGATATATAAATATATATTTATTTGTTCGAACGCAGAACGGGCACATATGTCGGACGTTACAAGTTGCGAGCGACGAGTGACGACGTCCCCCTCCGCAGACCGTCGCCGACGGTGTGTTGACCGTCGTAACCTATAGTGCTTTTGTCTTTTTCCAGCGGAATGTGTTCGCTCGCCGCCGCCATAGTGCGAAAACCAAAACTTCGCGTGATCACGAGTGAATGATATTTTGCGTGATCGCGTATCATTTAGAAGTGCCCGTGCGCTGGGAAGATTTGTCCGCCGTCGCTGTTCCGGCGAAGAAACTCCATTGGTCGTCGTCTAATATCATAGCCGCATCGTGGGCCACGCCGTCGCCACATCAGGTTGGATAGTTGGATTGTATATTATTATGACCCACGGAGTGAGTTGGGCTGTTTTGTCTGTTGTATGCCAACATTATTTGTATGATTTTTAGTTTGAAGTTTATCTGGGCGCCCACTTTATATATATATATATTATATTATCACTATTATACATATTCACACAATATACGTGTTTCCGACCAAATAAAGTGGTTATTAAGGGTATTCAAGGGTAACCCCTTCCGCTTACTTGTCCCCAACCCCTTACGCATGTCGTTGCCGACAATCGCATTATTTGCTGAATCGGTATCGGCGTCATCATTTGGTAGCTGAGCGTGGTTTTTGGCCTTTGAGGGAGGTTCAGTAGCGTTTTGGGTTGATTGCTGGGACGCGTGATAGATATAGTGTAACCGAAACTGAGATCGAGGCCACCGAGCGTAGCGCGCCTTAAGATTAAGCGTTTGGACGTGATTAATCAGATTAAGCATGTACATGGCCAAAGGTCGCTCTAAATGGGCCCGTGAGAATCATGTATGTTTTAATTGTTTAAATGTCGGTCATTGGATCCAGAACTGTAGGTCGAAACCTAATTGTAACCTTCGCGTCACATGCTTCTCCACTTGCAGGGGCGGACTGGGGCAACATTTTGGCCCGGGAAATCTATATTTTGACCCGGCCCTTGCCATTTCTCGCCATCACAAAAATGTAAAAACTTAAATATACCAACGTTTTATTCAATGAGGAATGCAGCCTCTACACATTTTCTATTTTCCCAGAAAACAACTTAAGATTTTTTTTTTCATTAATTGTTTATGGCATCAACTAAGAGGTTATTAGCCAGGGGTTTTTGGGACTGTTGGGTTCCGAAACCCAGGGTTCGGAACTCGTGTGAAATTTAAGTTCCGTTACCGTTTCGCTCGCCGACAGAAACGTTCGTCAGGTCTCGCGAGGTAGTTACACGACGTTTTGACACCATCGAGCGTAAACTGTCCGCAGATCCAGTATTAAAAAATTTATATGTTAATTTTATGACCAAATATATTGCATTAGGACAGTAATTGGTCAAAATATCCAAATCTATCCGTTTCTATCCGTGTAAATTACACATTATAAAAATAAAAATATAAATATAAATATATTATATAATATATAAATATAAATATATTATATAATATATAATTTTAAATATATTGTATAATATATAAATATATAACAAGATTCTTTTTGGCGTGCGTTAGAACTCGAACCGCCGCTCGTCTTCACGAAGTGCGGTATTTTGTCACTGGTTGCTCGCCTGTGTGTGGCACTTTAATCCGCCTAGTGCCCCGCATTTCGGGGGTCTGTGGGAAGCAGCCGTCCGGTCGACGAAACGTCTTTTGGTGCGTGTAATTGGGACACATATCTTCACGCATGAAGAGTTCTCAATGGTTTTGGCTCGTGTAGAAACCATTTTCAACTCACGCCCGCGTTATCGGATCCGCAGCGACATGTGTAGATTCTCAACAATTATTTTTGCCCCCACGTGAATAGAGTCCAAGTTACGCCTATGCCGGTGAGGGACCGTTTTAGGGATCCCCTTTTACCCAAGTACACGTTGTAATACACTGAATAGGATCAAGCGTAAATAATGCACGATTGCACTTCCTACTGCATGTGTGATATTATATTATAATCTAACGTCGAACGGATCACTATTTGAATATTATAAATATATTCCTAAAGCCCATTTGGACTTGTGGTATCCGATTGAGGGGAGCTGCAAAAAAATCGAATATTTACAAAGTGCAAACGTTTCAATCAATATCACTTCGAATAATTACCAACGCTCCCTTCTACGTTACAAACCAAACTTTACATTCAGATCTCAGACTACCAACTGTAGCCGACATGGCCACATCCTCCTACAAGCGCTACCGCTCTCGCCTTACCAACCATCCCAATTCGCTTATACTCGCCCTAGTCGCCCTCAACTCCCCAAACATTCCCGGCAAACCACCGAGAAGATTAAAGTGGCCCTAGTGTCGTGATTTAATTAGCTAGCACTGTTTAATATATATATATATTAAAACTGCCAACATAAGTGTATGTATATAATGTAAAATAGCCTAACAAATATCACGTCGAGTGTTACTGCTGGGTAGCTACTCCCCTCACGATTTCATCGTCAACTGTATTATTTTTTTTTCAGCTCATATGCTTATTGTAACTATCATACAGATGGTATATCTCCTAATAAATGTTTAAAAAAAAAATATATATACATAATTATACGGTCATCCAATCGCGGTCGGCAAAGAGCGTGTAGTGTGGCCCTCAAAAATATGGTAACAATAACGCGCGGTTCGTCGCACGAGCATGGAATGCCTCGTAGTATTATAATAATTTGTTTATTGTTTATGTAACCACTAACAAATATTTAAATAATTAAATGTAATATGTTGTATGTAACAATATGTATCGTGATACGAGGGCAGATATAAGGCTGACACCCTCGAATGAAACAAAACGCCCGGGATACATCAGAAGAATATAATGTATGATATTCAACAATGCAGGAAATGGTCAAATCGGCAATCTGCTAGGGAAGTCTCGGTGGGCCACTCAAAATATGGGTCAGTTATGAGTGTTAATTGGTAACTTTTCCTTTTTATGATAAAGAGAAATGAGTACAAACAGGAGTGTAGAAATATATAATTTAATGAAACTCAGTGGGCCGATACCATGACTATCCTGTTACACCGTCACCGACTCTTGACAAAGGGATAAAACGCAACACGATAGTAGTATACCACTAAACCATGGTATACAGGATGCGTGGACGGAAAAGGGCGGATTACCTGTCTTTGTATAAGAACGACGTACAAGAACGCAGCGATACGGAACGCAAACAAACGTGGCATATGATCAAATGTATAAATTCGACGGGAGCACTACAGTGACGCCCAAGGCGGAATGTGCCACAACAAAATACGAATGTATATTGAAAATAAGATGACACTTACGGCTAAGCCGAAAATGTAACCAAAACGGCCATAAACCGTCAGCTTAATTATAAAATAATTCGTGATG